GGAGGGGGGGGGGGGGGGGGGGGGGGGGGGGGGGGGGGGGGGGCCTTGTAAACAGCATGGCCAGGGTTCCAGCCCAGGTTCCTGACCCACCAGCTCTTCCCACAGGTGGAGGAGCGCTTCTCCCGGGTGCCAGAGCCAGTTCAGAAGCGCATTGTGTTCTGGTCTTTTCCACGAAGTGAGCGGGAGATTTGTATGTACTCATCACTAGGCTACCAGCCCCCAGAAGGTGAGCAAGACACCCGGGTGCCGTTTACCCGTGGGCTGCACCTGCTGCAGAGTGGGGCTGTGGATCGAGTGCTACAAGTGGGTGAGTGAGCATCTCTATCCTGGAGGAGGCAGAGGGGTCAGGGCGGGATGGAGGGGGGAGCTCCCAGTCCACCTGCTTCAAGGCCCAGATGTGCTTGGGCGAGACACTGTGGCATTCTTTGGGCACAGCACTGGGGAGGCAGAGGCTAGTGATGAAGAGGCACAGTAAGAGCCTAGTTTAATGGGGGGGGGTACTAAATACCTACTATATAAAGCTAGGTATATAGTAGATGTCAGAGATCTATCAGAACTTCGGGAGACTCAGGGAGAGGAAGGTGAACTAGAAAGTGGGGTAGAGAAGGAACAGGCATTGACAAGAGGACCCAGGTAAGGAAGAGGACAGGTGGAGTTTGTCTTGGATCTCAGAGGGGCCTGCTAGAGGGATTGAGACATGATGGCAGTTGTTGGAGAACTTGGGCTTCACACCGGCCTTGGAGACAGGATTATGCACTGGAGGGGAAAGGTGGACCTCAGACAGCTAAGCTGAGGAATAGAAGAGGTGGGAAAAGAAAGAAGAAGCAGGGTCCCAGGAAGGGCCAGTTCCTGACCTTAGACAGAGCACCTGTGTTGCATGACACAAATGATGCTAAGGCTAGACATGGTGGTACACACTTGTAACCCCAGTGCTCAGAAGGCTGGGACCAGAAGGTCTCAAGATTATGACCACCCTGGACAAAACAGTGAAACTCTGCTTCAAAAACCACAGTGGTCCCAGAGCGATAGCACATGCCTAAGGCAGAACTAGATAGATATCTATGATTTCCAGGCCAGCTAAGGCTTCATAGTGAGACCTTGTCTCAATGCTAAACAGGATGATCATAGGTCTCAGAGGCTGGACCCAGGGAGAAACCAGTCACACAGATTCGGTGTCAGAGAGTTTGAGGTTGGGCAGCTGTGTCCTGGGAAAGATTGTGATCAAAGGTTTGCAGCCACATGTGGAACAGTAGAGTGACTATAGTTGACAAAAATTTATTGTGTATTTTATAAAGAACTAAAAGGAAGAAGTTGGAAGCTTCCAGACACAGAGAAATAATCACTGTTGAAGGAGCAGGAAAAGCCAGTTGCTCTGATCTGAGCACCATGCATTGTATATCCTGTTGAGTTACCACATCGTGTATCATGAATGTGCACAGCTATTATGTGCTGATGGAGAAAACGACAAGGCTAAGGCCAGGAGAGTGGACTCAGACCTCAGGCAGTGGGCCTGAAGTGGTTCTGAAGCAGACGGAAAGAAAATGAGCAGAGAAGGCTGGGTTTGGGGAAACAGGGAGGAAGATGAGGGAAAAGGCCTTAGACCTAGCATCAAGCTTAGAAGAGGAGTAGTGATTGCGCTAAAAAATGAATAAGACTGTTCTTGGCTTCCCATGGTAGCAGGTCATGGCTCAGCCGTGGTGACCCTGCCTGGTGGCCTTGTACCCCTTTGCCTGGGCATAACCTAGCCACAGGCCCCATGGCTACCCCTGGTATGAGGAAGCCATGCCTTACATGACGCAGGTTGCATCAGGCTGCCCAACCAGTCGGATGAGCCTGACAGACACTCAGGACTGCCCAGAACTTGCTCCATCATCCCATTGCCCTCAAGTGCCACAGGCCTTTGGCATCTTCTCAGGAAGTTCAGAGCTTCTAAAGCTCAGTCGTAACCATAGCAGCCAAGGGCTTTCAACCTAAAGCATTTCAAACATTGTGTCTACACTGATAATACTATTTAGTGATCATTAGAATAAGGACAAAGGAACAGGGGAGAGGACTCATTTGGTTAAATGCCTGCTGCTTAAGCAAGAGGACCTAAGTTCAGGTGCTCAGCATCCGTGTAAAAGCAAGGCATAGTGTTGCATGCCTGTACCCCAGCACTAAGACAGAGACAAGAGGATCTCCATGGCTAGCCTAGTCAAAGGGGCTAGCTTCATGTTCAAGGAGAACCTGTCTCGAAAATAAGGTGGAAACCCAGTATAGTTGTACACGCCTTTAGTCTTGGCACTCAGAAGGCAAGCACATCTCTGTGAGTTTGAGGCCAGTCTGGTCTATATAGCAGTTCTATAAGAAACAGAGCTGCAAAGAACAATTGAGGCACCCCCTCCCCAAGAAAATAGAGATTTATTTGAGACTTAACTTTATGTCAAGTCATTCTAAATGCTTATCATAAATAACTCATTCATTTATTACAACTGTACAAGATCGTCATCACTGCATCTGGACAGATGATGAAACTGAGGCATGGATGGGTTAGATGGTTTGCACTGGATTTTCTCAGCAGGGCTGTGCATCCAGGTCTTGGGGTGATCCGGTCTCCACAGTGTGTGTTTTTCTTAGGGTTCCACCTCAGTGGGAACATCCGAGAGCTGGGGGCCCCAGGAGAGCCAGAACATCTCTACCACGTCTCCATCAGCTTTGACCGCTGCAAGATCACATCTGTGAGCTGTGGCTGTGACAACCGAGACCTCTTCTACTGTGCACATGTGGTGGCCTTGTCTCTGTACCGCATCCGCCATGCACACCAGGTGGAGCTGCGGCTGCCCATCTCTGAGACCCTCTCTCAGATGAACCGCAATCAGCTGCAGAAGTTCGTGCAGTATCTCATCAGTGCACACCACACAGAGGTGCTGCCCACTGCCCAGCGCCTTGCTGATGAGATCCTTCTTCTGGGCTCTGAGATCAACCTGGTTCATGGTGAGTGGAGAGAAGGAGGGGCCGTGATGCAGAGGCCGGCACAGTGGGTACCATCCATGTCCTGCTTTGGGGGATGTCACACACCTAGAGAGAGGCACATCTGGAGGGGTCTGACCCTAGGGCACCTGGAATAGGGCATAGGCCAGTCAACTCAGGACTGGGAACGCTGAGGTAGCTTGAAACACAGTGACACCCTGAAGTCAAGCAGTGTGCAAAGGCAGGAGGGTTCAATCCTAGTGTGAGGTGCCCCACAGAGGGTGGGGTATCTCAGAATTCCAGGGTAAAGAATTCCAGGGTGAGTGTCATGGCGAGGTGTGGATGGATCTAGGAGGTGTTGGGGAGGATCTGCTGCTGGTTTGCTTGGCTATAGTGGTGGGAAGATAGCGGGTAGATGAGTAGTGGGTGGGTGCTATAGTGGGTCATGGGGCCATGTGGGTTCCAGGAGGTTATGATTCATCACCAGGGGGAACTGATGTCATGGAAGGGCGTGGAGGATGAGCAGATGGGTAGCTGAGTGCAGTGGCAGGTGAGTGGGGCCCTGTCTTAAAAAACGAAAAGAAACAAGACAGTAGTGGTACACACCTTTAATCCCAACACTCAGGAGGCAGTGGCAGGTGGGTCTCTGTAAGTTCAATACCAGCCTGGTCTACAGAGCTAGTTCTAGGACAACCAAGGATACATGAGAAACCCTGTCTTGAAAACTCAAAAGAAGAAAAAAGGGAAGGAAGGAAGGAAGAAAGACAGGTGCATACACCAGGGACTGATGGGTAGGTGTTTGGGAGGAACATGTGAGTTTGAGGGAAACATATGCGTGAGCTGGAGTAGTTTGGTAGGTGGACAACGTGGCTGATTGACAGATGAATAGGGTGGGGATTTTGAGTGGTCCAACTAGGCTGTGGCCATGGAGGAACTGGTGTGGAGGGGAAGAGATGCATAGAAACTGGCTAGTATGGATGGGCCGTGTTCCAGGTGAGAGGATGGAGGAGTGGCTGGTGGTTTGTGAGGAGGAGTAAACGAGTGAATACAAACAGCTTCTACAGATGAATGGACTGAGTACCTAAATGAATGGAGGGGCTTGTAGTGTTTGGTACAGTTAGGTGAATGGACAGATGGACGAACCAATGGGCAGATTTATTTTTGGTTTTTCAAGACAGAGTTTCACTGTGTAACAGCCCTGGCTGTCATGGAACTCCCTTTGTAGATCAGGCTGGCCTCAAACTCACTGAGATCCATCTACCACTGCTTCCCAAGTGCTGGTATTGAAGGCGGTCACCACCACCGCCTGGCTAAGATGTATTCATGGACAGTTATATGGATGGATGGGATGATGGGCGAAGGCTGAATGAGTGAGTGTGAGGGAAGTGGCAAGTGGACTGGTGGTGAGTTAATAGGTGGATGGCCGGTGTGACCAGGCAGAAGCCCTGGTGGGGTCGCTTCTGGAGGCACAGAGTATTGATTTTGGAGGAATGGACAGGGGGAGGATTGACACCCTTTCTCTCACTCTACACTTGTTTGTTCACCCAGGTGCTCCAGATCCCACGGCAGGTGCGGGCACAGAAGATGCCAACTGCTGGCATCTAGATGAGGAGCAGATCCAGGAGCAGGTGAAGCAGCTGCTGTCCAATGGTGGCCACTATGGGGCCAGCCAGCAGCTGCGCTCCATGTTCAGCAAGGTGCCAAGGCTGGGGGTGGACAGGGCAGAGGTCCTGTTGTGTCCCTCCCTTTCTTACCGCCTGCTGCTCTGCACAGGTGCGGGAGATGCTGCGGGCACGGGACTCTAATGGGGCACGCATGCTAATCCTCATGACTGAGCAGTTCCTGCAGGACCCTCGCCTGGCCCTGTGGCGGCAACAGGGTGCTGGCATGACAGACAAGTGCCGGCAGCTGTGGGATGAGCTGGGTAAGGCCTAGACCCTGGGGTGAAACCCACACCCTGGCTCCCACTCATATTAGCATCTGTACCCAAATCTTGCCTCCACTTAACACTACTAAGACCCCCAGCATGCTGGCCACCCTACTGAGTCCTGGAACTCCCAGAGAGAACAAGACACAAAATCTGACTCTTGGCTCTTCTGGGAGTAGTATTACATGGTTAGAGCTGAAGATATAACTCAATTGTAGCAGGCTTGTTGAGCATGTATGAGATCATGAATTCCATCTTCAATAAGTCTAGATAGATACATGCATGGATGGGTTGGTAGATGGGAGAATGCATCCATGCATGGGTGTTTAAGTACTGTACAGTTTTGTCCCTTGATGTCCTTGGAAGATTGGTCCCAAATCCTCTAAGACACAAACATCTGGAATGCTCAAGACCCTTATAAAACCATACAGTGTCTACAGAGAGTCTATGCATATCCTTTCTGTACAGTTTTGTTTTGTTTTTGATAAAGGGTCTCAATGTAACCCAGGCTAACCTCAAGCTCACAGTACTGCCAGGGATGACCCTGAGTTCTTGGTCTTTTTCTTTTCCACCTCCCAGGTGCTGGGGCTTTGTAGTCACCACTGTAGCAGTGCCCTGTGTCAGATGATAGGAGGCATGTGGAAAGTGGGGAGGAAGCAACACTAAAATTCACGAGGCACCAAACCCGGGCTTGAGCCCCGACTTAAATGTAGTGTGACCCAGGGCGAGTGGAGTTTGTTTCCCATATTTCAGTTTCTCTCTCTTTCTCTTTTTAAAAGTTACATTTATTTATATTTGTGTGTATATGTGTGGGTATACCATAGTACACACATGGAGGTCAAAGGACAACTTTGTGGGCTTAGTTTCCTCCTTCCATATGTGGATCCAAGGGACTGAACTCAGATCATTATTCTTGGTTACAAGCCCTTTCCCCCTCTTGTTGACCATATTTTATTTTATTTCCTTACCATGATGTGAGGAGACACTGAGTTGCAGCCCATGTTCAGGTGGGACGTGTGCCTAGGCTGCAGCAGTTGCTTCTTAGCCTGTGTTCATGATGTTGACCTAGATGCTGAGCCTCTCTCTGCTCTTCAGGGGCTTTGTGGGTCTGCGTCATTCTGAGCCCCCACTGCAAACCAGATGAGCGCTCAGGCTGGCTGCAGCTGCTTGGCGCATGGGACAAGCTAGATGTGTGCCCACTGGAAGAGGGCAACTACTCCTTTGACATCCCCGGCCTACAGCCTACTTTGACCTCCAGGACAGGTAAGAGAAGGGCCCTACAACCTGTTTCTGACAAAATCATCACAACTCACTACAGCTCAACCTGTCACAGTTACCATGTCCCAGGAGAGAGAGGGTAGGAGATACAGAAGGGGGCCCCACTGGTTGTCCTTCCAGCCAAAGGAGCAAGTGCTAAGGGCAAAAGTAATGATGTCTTTGAGGATGGTGACACAGCGCTTGCTGGACCTCCAGTTAGCAAAAGTGAGACGACGGATAGGGAAGGACAGGAGCCCAACAGCGGTGGGGTGGGGAAGGGACAGTGACGAGGGTGTGGGCAAGACAAGTGAAGAGGGAGAAGGAGAAAAACAGAAGAGCGATTAGAAAGAAGCAAAGACACTGAGGAGAGATGGAACAAGAATGGCTAGCAGGGAGGAAAGAGATGTCCGTAACCTGTGCCAGTGCTGTGACAGATGCCAGCCCCCACTTTCCCTTTGATGATTTGCTTCAAGAATTCATATCCATCACCTGCCTGGGGTAGAACCCTGAGTTGGCACCTGGTGGGAGAAGCTGGCTACAGTTTGTTCACCAGCACCACCATTACTACATTGGTACCCTCCTGTAGGCTCAGAGGATGAAGAGGAGGAGGTGGCAGCCACCAGTCCCCGTCGTACAGTGTTCAGCCGAGCACTGCAGGCTGGGGAGTTGCACTGGAATGACAGCCACCTGCAGAGGATCCTGGCCAGTGATTCCTGTGGCCCAAGTCTCACTGGCAATATGGGAGGTGACAAACCAACCTTTGACCCTCAGGGCCACCCCATCTGGCTGGGTGAACCCTTCCCTACTGCCTGTGCACGGGTGGATACTTTGCGTGCCCATGGTTATCCCCACAAGGCTCTGCGGCTAGCATGTGCCATAGTCAACACTCTGCGGCTGCAGCGGCGACACCAGCTTGAGAACTACAAGCAGCAAAAAAAAGGTGAGTGAGGGCACAGGCTCTAGAACCCAGGTGCCCAAGACACAGGCTAGCCCATGAGAGATGGCAAAGAGGTCTGGGTACCACCCCAGCTCCCACTCTCTGTTTCATAAACAGAAAGGATTTTATCATAAAAAGTGCTGGTTGAAACTGAAGCACTGTGTGGTGGGAGAATTCTATGCGTCAGGTGCAGTTACATGGTAGAAGCCTTGCAGGGCATTGGTAGTGAATGCCTTTAATCCCAGCACTCAGGGGCAGAGGCAGGTGGATCTTTGTGAGTTCGAGGCCAGCTTGGTCTACAGAGTGAGTTCCAGGACAGCCAGGGCTACACAGAGAAATGCCATCTTGAAAAACAAAACAAAATTGCCTGCTCTTCCAAAGGTCCTGAGTTCAATTCCCAGCAACCACTTGGTGGCTCACAACCATCTGTAATGAGGTCTGGTGCCCTCTTCTGGCCTGCACGCATACACACAGACAGAATATTGTATACATAATAAATAAATAAATAATAAATAAATAAATAAATATTAAAAAAAAAAAACAAAAACAAAAAACAGCCATGGTAGAAGCATCTTATTAATGCCTGGAGCCTTGGGTCTCAGTCCCAGCAACAAAAGAAAAAGGACAGAAAAGAATAAGAATTAGGTCAAAGTGCTAATAGGTATGTGCAGCTCTTGAGCCAGTTCCCAAGAAGACACCACAACTGGCCACCAGAACCTCCTCTTGCACATTGCCTTGGCCACCACTATTCACACGCAGGGCAGCTGCCACAGAGTAATGGTAGCATTCCCATTGTTTATCCATTTTTCATGCAAGGGAGACTGGGAAATGTAGACACTTCCAGACCCTGTAGTAGGCAGGTTTCCACAGCATGACCCTCAAGAATATGGTCATAGGGTGGAAAGAGAAAAGCCTGAAGAATAGACTAGTTGATGTAGAATTTGCTCACTTTTAAAAACGGGCAACAAATTGAGTTTCAAACATTTGAAACATAACAAAAGGGCTATGGTGTGGCTCATTGGTGGAGTGCCTACCTAGCATGTATTTTATACCTTAGCACTTTACAAGTTAGGTATGGTGACCCATGCCTCTAACTCTAGCACTCAGGAAGGGGAAACAAGAGAGTTGGAACTTCAAGGTCAAGGCCCACCTAGACCATCTGAGAACCTGTCCAAATACAATAAAATAAAAAAAGCAGGGCCAAGAATTGGCTCAGTAGGTAGGGTGCTGGTTGATAGTGCTTCATGAAAATCTGAGGGTCTGAGTTTGTATACCCTTTACCCATATAAAAGCTGGGCATGTCACTGTCTCCCAGGGCTGGGAGTTGAAGGCAGGCAGATCGTAGGGTCTTGTTGGCAGCCATTTGAGTTGAGAAGGTGGGCTCTAGGACTGAAGGTTCACCAAAGAGCTTCTGTTACAAAAGATAGAGCAGGCTGGAAGAAGGCTCCCAACCTAGAACTTTATCCTCAGTATATCTATGGGGCATGCACACACATGTGCACAGGCACACAAGCACCCTGAACAAAAGCAAAGATGCTGTATCTAAATCTGGGGACAGAAGGAAGCCACTGTCTGAGTTCTTGGCAGTGATGCTGACAAGTGTGCAAGGGAGAAATGGGCTCTGTAATGGAGGTGTCAGAGCTAATCTCCAGATGATTTAGGGAACAGCACAGGCCAAGTTCCAAGATCAGGGGAGGTCAGTGATGAGCGGCCTTACAGGGCATTCAGGTGTCTATCACAGAAGAATCTCATACTGCCCCTTGAGGGGCCTCCAAGGTGTTTGAGCTTGGCTGCAGAGATTGGGAAGGGGTAAGGCTAGGAGAAGAGAGTACTGCTTTGCATGTTTCAGGAAGAGGGGGTAACTCACAGACTGGCAGATAGCACAGAGGGTTGGTGTGGGGTGGGAGAAAAAGCCTCCAGAGTTGAGTGGGTGGCTGCATAGAGCCCACCTCTCCCCATACAGAACTGCTCCAAAAAGGTGCTACTTGCCTCACAAGCACTGAAGGTTGGGTGGGCCATCCCCTGGATCCCATTGGCTGCCTCTGCAGGGCACTGCTGGAGGCCTGTCGACTGGAGGAGGAGCCTCACTCTCTTTACCCAGGTACCCACCCGAGGACCCCTGCAGGAGGAACAATACCCACTCTGTTGGCCAGATATTGTCACATAGCAAGCTCAGCTTTGGCTGTGTGCCCTCCCAAGGCCAGGAGCCATTAGGCTTAGCTTTCTCAAAATGAGGCGGCCATGGCCGGAGCTAAGAGAGTTGGGACTCTCTCTCCCTAAACCTCTCTCCACGTCTGTCACCCAGCTTGGGGCTGAAGGGTGGGAGCATATCTAAACCTCAGCGACCTTGGATGCATCTCCCCTAGACTTGCCCACAGAGAAGCGGAAGCTGTCCTACCAGCACGTGCCAGTGCCAGGGAGCCCTGGAGAGTCCTACCTGGCTCTGGCACTGGAAGTGGCACTGCTGGGGCTAGGGCAGCAGCGGGCCCTTCCGGAGGGATTGTATGCCCAGGACAAAGTGGTGCGCAATGAAGAGCAGCTGCTGGCCCTGCTGGAGGAGGTGGAGCTGGATGAGCGGCTGGTGCAAGTTCTGCGCAAGCAGGCTGGGCTGCTGTTGGAAGGTGAGTCCGGTCTCGGCCAACACTCATAGCCCTATAGGATTAGGTGTGAGGTTGTGCCTCATGGCCTTGGTCGCTCCTCCACCATCTAAAGAATAAGCCTACTCTGCTGCTAACACCTGTCAACCCACCGTGTTGTAAAGCCCGCCCATACTCTAGCCCCGCCCACGCTCAGACCCTATTGGTTCCTTGCTAAGTCCTCTCCCCTTATTGCTGCTGCTGGGGCTGGCGTGCCTCATTCTGTAGCCTCATTCTTCATCACGCGGTGTTGCCTAGGGACCCCTCTTATGCTCCTCTAAATGTATCTGGAGCTCAGGGATAGTGGAGACTGAGGTCACCTTGTCCCTTTAGGAGGCCCTTTCAGTGGCTTCGGCGAAGTGATTTTCCGAGAGAGCGTACCCATGCACACCTGCGCCCGATACTTGTTCGCTGCGCTGCTGCCCCACGACCCAGATCTGGCCTTTCGCCTGGCACTCCGAGCCATGAGGTAAGGGCAGGAGGAGGGAGTGAGGAGCTATGAGCCCCATCTCCAAGCTGGGTCTCAGCCTGGTTAATGAGGTCCGCGGCCCATGCAGCAGTGTTTGTCTGTTTAATGGAAATGTGTAGTATGGTGAACTTGAGAACGATGCACAGCTACAGACCACACGCGTGCCCAGAGTGCAGACCTTTTCTAGGAGGATTATGTCAGCTATCTGAGGCTGGTTTCCTGCACTGGGGTCATGATGTAGCAGTACCCTGCTGGCCTGGGTGTTCTAAGGTTGAGGTCAGTGCCCAGCATTGCACATGTATTTTTTCCTGCAGTTAATATTTCTGTTCATGTTTAAAATATACATAGGTTAGTGGCAACATTAAGTCATTCAACAAATGCTTGTGCCCTAACTGTGGACCAAATAGTGGTTGTAATTGCAGTATCAGCAAAACAGTCAGTGCATTCTGCCTTGTGCAGATGGTGCTCCAGGAGATGGGAGACGAGAGCAGAAAGAGGGAGGACTTGGACAGAAAGCTGCAGTTTCATATGCAGGGTTTCAAGGGAACCTGGCAGAAGGATGCTCAAGACAGTGGAAGGGAGCTTAGGGAGGGCTGTGTAGGAGGGGTGTTCCAGGCAGTGGAACCTCTGTTGACTGTGGGCACACCGGCTCCCAGAGCATCTGCAGGAGTGATGTCATCAATTTCTCTTCTGTGATAGCTCATATAAAGGAAATGTACCTTCTGAGCTCCCAATGTGGTGGGAGCCAGTGAGAGGAGGGAACGATACAGGGGTGTATACATACACATAGCTCCTTCCTGTCACAAACTGGTGGATTCCCAGGGCATCTAAACAATGTCTGGTCCTCTGATGGGGTTTGTTTTTGTTTTGAAGCAAAGTCATATAATATAGCCTAGGCTGGCCTCAAACTCTCTATTTGTTTAAAAACATTTATTTATTTATTTATTTATTTATTTATTTATTTATTTATTTATTTATTATGTATACAATTGTCTGTGTGTATGCCTGCAGGCCAGAAGAGGGCACCAGACCTCATTACAGATGGTTGTGAGCCACCATGTGGTTGCTGGGAACTGAACTCAGGACCTTGAAAGAGCAGCCAGTGCTCTTAACCACTGAGCCATCTCTCCAGCCCTGTGTTTGTTTTTCAAGACAGGGTTTCTCTATGTAACCTTGACTGTCCTGGAACTCACTTTGTAGACCAAGCTGTCTTTGAATTCATAGAGATCTGCCTGCCTCTGCCTCTGCAGTGCTGGGACTATTGGTATATACCACCACACCCATCTTAAATGCATTTTCTTAGCAGCCAGGTGTGAATGATGACAAAGGTCTGTAATCCCAGCACACTGAGTCTGAGGTGAGATCTCAAGACCCACACCTGGTTGGGCTACATAACAAGACTGGATCTCAGAACCTAGGTAGTTGATACATGGTGAGAGAGAAAGAGAGGGATGGTAGTGGGGAGTGTGTAATGATCAGAGTTAGATCGATGGTAAAGACACACATGGATTCTGTCACCTGTGACCCCCCCCACCAGAAGCTCCAACATAATTTCTGTTCGTCCCTCCTAGAATATCACCTGTTATTTATTTTTCTTTTTTTCTTTCTTTCTTTCTCTTTCTCTGTCTTTGGGGGGTAGGGGGTTTTCTGTGAACTTGCTTTGTAGACCAGGCTGGCCTTGAACTCATAGAGATCTGATCTATGTGTCTCTGCCTCCTGAGTGCCGGGATTAAAGGCATGCACCACCACCACCTGGCTAAGACTTTTTTAAAGTACTTTTTTTAAAAAAAAAGTAATTTATTGGGGCTGGAGAAATGGCTCAGTGGTTAAGAGCATTGCCTGCTCTTCCGAAGGTCCTGAGTTCAGTTCCCAGCAACCACATGGTGGCTCACAACCATCTGTAATGAGGTCTGGTGCCCTCTTCTGGCCTGCAGGCATACACACAGACAGAATATTATATACATAATAAATAAATAAAATAAATTCAACCAAGTAAGGTAAAAGAAATTTTAATGGGTGTGTGCGTG